AGATGCAAAAGCATGGAATCGAACCTGTCACCTTCGGATTCCCTACGCAGCACACTAACCACCGCGCCATGTCGACAGATGGCTGTTTCGGTGTTAAAGAAGAAGTCAACTCACAAAATCACTGTTTAACTTCAGTTATGTTTCTCGTTAACTCGAGGTGGATGAATCTTGACCTGCTACTAAAGTTTGCACATTTGATAAGCACGAACAACTGCTGCCTGTAACAATTGCCACTGCGATAATGGCAACAGCACTATGTATTTTGTTACAATTTACAACCGCAAGAAAAAAAGAACTCAGCGGACTGAGGAGCAGGTAGAAATTATCGGCGGTTACTGCCAAGTTTATTATCCGTTTCTCGCTTCTTTCAAAGGGTGATATCTGTTCAGGTTTTATGACTCTTCTATGCTGATTCGATAGATACGCCCTCACAATTGATTGTGACGTTTTTCGCGCAACGCACAGCGCAGTCGTGCCAGCGCACCACTGTTGCTCTGTCGTTAGGCACAACTACATAACGGATTGGCCAAAACGAATGCAGTGTGCCAGAAACATTATGCTATTATATTGGTTCAGTAAGCGTACATATGGCATATATGGACGAGTCTACGTTCTCGCATAAGTGCCAGTGAAGTGTCGGCGAGTGCGACCGGCGGCTGTCGGTGAGGGGAGGCGTACATTTGGTGGAAGTGCTGCAAGTGCGTCGCATCGATGTTTGTCGCTTCCTTCAAGCACACCGTACACATTAAAAAAGGGTTCATTTAGGTTAAATGTTGCCACATCTACGCTGTATTGTCATTTTTACTTGTCAAAATTGTCTATTCTGAAACCCAGAAGCACCAATAACACTTGTATTGGCTTGGTCGATATGACTAACCTTTGGTGAAACTCAGGTGGTAAAGCAAAACGGTGAAAGTGAAATTCTGGGGCTCGTCTCAGCGCAAGTCAAAATTGAAAGTTTATGCATATTCGCACGCACTTCGTAAACTTAAAAGTACAGCTTAAGCAATAGAGTGTGTAAGAAGTACCAGAGTTGAGTTGCTAGCGTGGTGGCATCAAGTGACCGCTGTGTTCTGGTCTAACATTGAAAGGGGCAATTATGAACTGGAGCTTCTTTGTTTGTCGAGAACTGCGCGCCGATGTAAAACATTCATTGTCACTGTTGAGAGTGACACCTCTATTCTTGTAAACATCACAACAAAGAAAGACATCGTGGGTGTCAAACTCATGTAAGTACGTGCGCGAAATGTTAACATATTCCCGGCCGCATATTCTACGCTCCACAAAAATTGAAGCGTTGATGACACCACAGAAATAAAACAATGAACGTGCTAGAAAGCGTAACGGGCAGCGTTGGTTTTTTTTTACCGTAAACATATATCTCTGCGTATTCAAGAATGAAACAATAAGAATAAGTGATTTCACACGATGCCTTGTGTTTTTCCATTAACCCACCATCACCCACCAAGCTTCGATCACGCCATCGTAATCCACCTTGCTCAGCAAGCCTTCCACCTAACTCATGTTGCCTCCCCACCATCAGCCGGCATTTTCCACCGTCACCGCTATTGACTTACCACCCCCACCATCACTTGCCATCATTTTTTCCACTCTCCCCATCATCAGCAATAATGCCCACAACAGTTTCCACCATATCCACTAATATTTCCACCATACCCACCAAGAATTGCAGCATCCACCAAGCCAGGATTTTCAATAGGGTAGACTTTCAACATACTGTTATATCGATTGAAAGAGCAAATGCGCAATCACCCAGTCCGAGTTATCGCTCACTGCACGTAATTAAGCAGATGTGATCAATTAATTGTATCATTTTAAGTAAAATAGCTCTGTTCGTCAGAGAACTTTTTGTATGGGCATTGTCATTATTCTTCGATGATGTTTGCAATGCACGTAAAGCCGGGAATATGAGTTCATAGTTTAATTGCGAATCCCGTAATATCAAGAAGTACTGAGGTGCAATTCACAAAGTAGCCACTTCCTACTTCTCCATCACTCAGACTTAACAGTTAGCCATTTCAAATTATGCCCCAAATATTGTGTAGTGTAGCTGTTTCGTATTACGGGTATATGTCTACAGTTTTGCTTCTAGAAACAACTCACATGAACTCAGCCAGACCTGGACCTGTTCTCTAATGAGCAGCATAACTTCTAGGAGTGATACTGCGCTAAATTTTTTGAATGGTTATTACATTTGGTAGTAAATATGATATATATGAACACAGTTTTTCACTGCTGTCAGTGCTCTGTTTTCGAATACCACGGTGTACCAAAATTTACAGTTGGGCAGAAGTTGTGTAGAAGCTAAGGTAAACTCTGTCAACTTTCTGTATATTGAAGATGCTCCCTTTTTTGTCGACGTCATGTCCTGTGAATTTGCTGATCTGTAACTAAAGAAGCAGTCAGAAGCCCAGCGCATCGACCAGTCAGTGGTGTTGATCAAGTGAGGCTTCTCAAGCGTGTCTCCAACAAGCACGAAAGAGTGCGAGAGTTCAACCTCCTGTGGCTATAGTTCATGCACTCATCTGCTCTCGCATCACCTACTCAGCACCTTACCTACCTTTCATCCACACCGAAAAGAACGGCTGCATTTAACACTTAGCAAAGCTTATGAGACGGCCCTGGGTCCCCCCATGTCCAAATCCACTTACGAGCTTGTGGCTACTGGCATTACCAACACCGTGAGAGAGCTGATTGAAGCTACCCTTACCACTCAGTACAAGCGGCTGTCAGTCACACACGCGGGCCGGGCGCTACTGCAGCAAGTTGGAATCTCACCGACGAAGGCTCTCACAACTACGCAAACCTCACACAAGAATATTGTCGAAGTTTCTGCTTCTTTCCCATTCCCAAGTGAATGCATTCGGAACACCACGCTGAGATACGGGCCAACCAGGCATTTCAATTCGAGAAACGCTTTAGCGTACGTCCGGACGTTACGTTAACGGACGCCGCTTACCACCCCTTGAAACCAGTGATGGTGGCGGAAGCCCTCGCCCCCCCCCCTTTAGCTGGCACAAAGCATGCAGCATTCCCAAAACAGAAATGGTAATCGCAGCAGAGGAGGTTGCCACCGCGCGTCCACCAGCTGACCCCATCAGCAATGCTGTCATCAGTGACTCTCAACCAGTGATGCCATACTACGACGTCGGCCGCATCTGTCACCAGGCATTGCCCAAGTCCCTTTCTGCTCCCTCTCTTCTTCATCCCGCTTTCTTATTCGAGCTCCAGACCATGAGTCGCTGAGCCGAAACGCACAGGTGCACATACTCGCCCGAGTCTTAGCTGTAGAGCCATGGGTAGAATTAACCTTGCCGCTTCCCCTGGCACAAAGATGTCGCGCGACACACAACTCACCACGCATACAGACATCCTACAGTACTACCAGCTCGGAAGAAGTCTATACCCTCCTGCACACCACAATTTAACAAGACCTGTGGCTGTCGAATTGCGCTACAGCTCGGCGGACCAGCAGAACTACAGAACTACAAACCGGCAGGTTCTCACAACTCTTCTTATACAATAGTTTTTTTGGGAACAGATCGTTCAAAGGTGCTAACAATGCTCATATTAGGCGACACTCGCGTGAACATATCGCGTGAACGTATACGCATTACAACACAGACAATACAAATACCTCAGAGTCGTGGGAGTCTCTCTTGCGTGCTCCCGAGACAGAAAACCAACACCGGCTCATCCAGCGCGTGACGGAGGTTGCGGTATCTTAAGGTGACCTCCTCTGGAATAGCGCAACCAGTGTCTGTGCTGCTCCTCTCCATTTCTTTTTTCTTGTGGGAGAAGTAACGATGTTACCACTACCCTGACCATCTGGAATATTGGGAGAAGTGATTATTGGCCAGCGCATGCTCAACATAGTAGTTCTACTTTCATTCTATTTTCTTTCTTTCTTTCTTTCTTTCTTTATTTCATATTTACTTCTTTATTTTCTTTTTATCTATGTTTTTTCCTTCATTTATACTATTTATTTTTTATTTTTGTTCTTTTTTGTCTTTCCTCTCTTTTTTTGTTTGTCCCTTTCCTTCTTTCCTAATAAATGAGAGTAGTGTAAGGGCGTACTACGCAATGACTAAAGCTACCACGTCAACTCCGGAAGCGTGATCAGGTGTTGTTACCCAGGGAGCAGTGAAATGTGACAACGTCGAATGACAGGTGATCTTGATAAGAGGTCAGATTGCCTCATCTGAAACGGGGCATCACCCGCTACCAATATATCAAAAACATGAATTGTTGAAGAACAACGGGTAAAAATAAGCCTGTGACCGGTCCTCCGTATGAGGCTGCAATGCCATACCTTCCAAAGTATGTTTGTCTTGTGAAATAAAGGCATCCCTAAAATCTCTGACTCGAAAGAAGTTTCACTTGAATAAAGAGGGCACCCATTCATGTAGGCCAGCCAAATAGCTGATCGAGTGGTCCATGACTTTTGGATTATATTTGGCTGAAGTAAGCTTCTTCCCTAGAGTTGTGTAGCACAAATGCTTCCCTCTGTATAATAAAACCAGCTTTGAATATTTCTGTGTCACAGTGAGTTTTCCTGTCATTTTTGTCATCATTCTTATTGGTTGTTTTTATAATGTTCACCTTTTTCTAGCTAAGTAGTAGATCCCTGGTGTTGTATCGTTTGGTTTAGGGTGACGTAATTGTATTAAATATAAAATAATCTATTTGATCGAATAGACTCTTACTCTATTCTCAGACCGGCGTTTTAAGAAACGCGTTTCTCATAGCATCTTCAGCATCGCCAGTCGTTACAGATGACTCACATTTATCGGGATTGGCTATGATTGTTCTTAAGAGTGTTGCGTGACTGATATGCGAGATTTTGAATTTTGAGTGAATCTCTTCGGCGATTAATATGCATGAAATATTTATATGACAACGCGATTTCCAACAATAGCGTATCTTTCTCGACTGCTGCTGTTTTTGGTTTGATTTGCGTTGCTTTTGCATGCTTTCAGGGTGGTCTACGGGGTGTGGTATGGACTGACTGCGTACAAGCCATTGTAATTTTAGCCGCCCCAGCAACCATCATAGTCAAAGTACTGTGGGACGCCAGCAAACGACGTCTAAGGCCAATGACGCTCGAGGACTTCAAGCCATTCGCATTTCAGTCAGTCATCCAATATAGTGACCTCCTTATGCACTGGCAAACACGTCAGTAGTGTTGTTAGCAGAGCAAACATCTCTAGCATCTGAAACACAGCATTATTTTTGTCGACCTGAATATTGAGATTGCTGCTTCGCCACTGTTCACTATTGTGTGAGTTAGAGTTAGCTTCATGATTTTATTGTGTACATATCAACTAGCCGAGCATGGCAAGCGAAAATTATTAAAAACGTCGTTGTAGTCATCGTCGCTGTGGAGGTCCGTGCATAGTTAGAGTGATGTACAGAAGGAATAGCAGGCGATCGCAGAGTGTGGACCAGAGGAGAGTGCACCGTTTGATTATAGTGTTTTTGGTGTTTATAGGATGAATATGCTTGACATTACTCGCTCGGTGGCGTATATCAATACACATTTTTGGTAAATTACGCCGTTTTAGTTGTACCTAATAGGCCCTACAACGTAAACAAAAGCAACAATTTGCAAGATAGTTGAGATATTCAGTAATAATGAGGGACCTGTTAGCAAATATAAACTAATATTTTTGCTTTCAATTTACTTCATAACATGCTATTTATCATTGTATTACTTTGAGATAATTTTCTCATGCTGTAGGTGATATGCTGTGTAGCTTTCTTAAGTGTAGCCTCTATAATAATTACGTTCACTGTAAGGAATTTCCTGATATCCTTGCGCTTAACAGGAAACGGTAGAATTTTCGTCCGCGTGAGTTCTTTTTAGGAAGTATTTTCTTTTTATGATACGCTTCATTTATTTATTTATTTATTCATTTAATTATTGGTACTGCAATCCCCTGGAGGAATTTTCGCAGGTGGGTACAAAAGACGTAAACATCAGCATATAACACCAGGCAAACAGATAGAACAGCCTATCACATTTCACATAGTAGGCAGCCATATAACACAAAGCAAACAAATAACTATCACTTGCGTTTTACAACGTAAACAAACGTAACAAAATTTTACCGATGACACATCACTCCCAATTTAGGAAAAGAAAACAGAACTAGCACACAAGTAAAATGATTTTCTCTGTTGTTCCAGACCAGCGGCAAAAGATGTTAAAGACTGTGTTGTGACTTGATGGTTATTTAAACTATTCCATTCCTGCACAGTTCTGGGGAAAAAAGATAATTTGAAGCAGTTATTGCGGGCACGAAAGGGAGTTATTGTACGATCATGGCGTTGTCTGGTGGCGCAACCTGAAGAAAATGAAATAATTTTTCCAATATCTATCTTGTAATTCCCATTAATTATTTGATATAAATATATTATTCGGCATATGCGGTTTTTTTCTGAAAGTGAAAGTAAGTTAGCTCTTACTAACAGTTCACTTACCGAGGTTCGTCCACAACTGTTATATATAAAGCGAACGGCTCTCCTTTGTACTTTTTCGACTTTATGAATGTTAGTTTGAGTAAATGGATCCCAGATCACTGCAGCATAATCAAGTATGGGGAGGACTATCGATTTGTAGGCAAGAGCACGGACAGATAGAGGGGAGAGTTTCAAAGTCCTCCGTAAAAAGAACAGTTTCTGATTAGCCTTGGAAGTTACTATGTCAATGTGTTTTGTCCAGTTAAGATCATTTGTTATCCATAACCCAAGATACTTGTAGGATTGAACCTCGGAAATAAGGGCATTGTTTGTAAAGTATTGAAAATTTATTTTGTTTTTCTTATGAGAAATGGACATGTACCCTGTTTTTTCCAAATTGATGGACATTTGCCAAGCCTCGCACCAGAAAACAACCCTGTTAAACGACTCGTTTAACAAAACTTGGTCCTTTGAGGATTCTATTTCAGAATAAATAACGCAATCGTCCGCGTAGAGCCTTACATTTACAGGTATACCGTTCACTATGTCGTTAATATATAAAATAAATAGAAGGGGACCCATAACGGACCCTTGGGGGACGCTAAAGTCAACTGAAACCCTGTGAGAGGAATGATTGTTAAAATCTACAAACTGTTCTCTGTTTTTCAACAAGGCCGATATCCATTTAATAAGTTGATCATTCCCGAGAATTTTTTCCAATTTGTATACTAATTTATTGTGCGAAACCTTGTCAAAAGCTTTTGCAAAATTCATAAAAATTGCATCTGTTTGTTTACCTATATCAATTGAAGTAGCGAAGTCGTGTATTGTTGATACCAATTGTGTCGTTGTTGATAATTCCTTCCTGAATCCATGCTGATGTTGGTTTGAGATACTATGTTCGTCCAGAAAACATGAAATGCTATTGTGTATAATGTGTCCCAAAAGTTTACAAACGGTTGAAGTTAGCGAGATGGGGCGATAATTTTTGACACTCTACTTGTTGCCCGATTTATGAATAGGCTTGATTCTAGCTGTTTTCCAGTCGTCTGGAACCTGGCCCTCACGCAGCAATTTTTTAAAAAGAACATGGAGGTATATCGACATCCATTCAGCGTATCTCTTTAAGAACGCGTTAGGGATATTGTCCGGTCCAGAGGACTTTCCGATATTAAGGTTCACAAGCATGTTCAATATGCCCTGTTCACTAACAACAATATCGGGCATTCGCGGCGAAACAATTTCAAAGATTGGTAATACAGAGTTGTCACAAGAAAAAACCGATTTGAAGAGATCGTTGAAAGCATTTGCGATTCGAGCAATATCGTGCGTAAGAATGCCATCGACATTAAAAACATCACACTCTTTCGAAGCGGGCGAAATGCTCCTCCAAAATTTCTCGGGACACGAGGTCAAGTAATGCGGCAAGGATTCCCCAAAATAACGCTGCTTATCTGTTTGAATTTGATTTTTCAGTTTTACTGAAAGCTTAGCTATTTGTTCTGAATACGCTACGTTCAGACTTCGTTTTTTCTTTAGACGCTTTATTTGCCTTCTTAATCTCAGTGTTATATGAGAAATCCACGGATTTTTTCGCTTCGATTTTTTAATTACCAGAGGCACAGATCATTCAATGCATTCTTTGACAATGTCCTTAAACCAGTTCCATAAATTATGTATATCAGTTTTATTATTCGCAAAGTTATCAAAGTTGAAAGAAAGGAGATCTATAATAGCATTATCATCTGCACGATCGAAATTAGGGAAAGATAAACAGGGCAATGTCTGATCCAACACTGTGTCACTTAGAGTAAATAGCACTGCATGATGATCGGAAATTCCCGGATATATCTCAGTCGTTGCTTTAGATGCAATTGCCTGGTTAACGAAGAAAAGGTCTAGGGTTGACTGAGTGGTCCCTTGAATTCTTGTGTAGCCTTCAACTAGCTGAAGCAGGTAAAAAATGGAGCAAATATCAAGCATAGCTTCACCCGATGGGTCGCACTGCTTCAGGGCAAATTTTTTTCAATCTACATTAGGTAAATTATAATCACCTGTCATTATAATCCGGTCATCATGCTTAATATTCAGTTTCAAATAGTTTTTCAATTCATTCAGCACGTCAACGTGAGCGTTTGGGGGCCTATAAACTCCTGCTATAATGTAACGGACATTGTTGTGATAAGCCTTACAAAAAATACCTTCTACTCCGGGCACATCAGCCATTCTACATATTTTAAGGTTATCCTTGAAAAGTACACAAACGCCGCCGCCTTTGCTAGCCCGGTCATTTTTGTATGCGCTGTAGCCAGACGGAACAAATTCACTATAAAAAAACTGAGTCGCTTAGCCACGTTTCTGTCAAGACAGCAATAGCAGGATCATGAGAAAGTATTGATGCCTCTAGTTCAGTGGCCTTATTAAGAACGCTCCTACAATTTATATTTAGTATTTTTAGTGCGCCATAGTGCTTGTTTTTGTGTCAATTAGATTTTTGATTCAGCCTATAGCGTGACCCCTTTCCTTCGTCCCATGCAAACAAGACGTCATCGACCTTAAGCTTACCATAAACTAGCTTTGTCTTACAGCCACGCAGCCTTTCCTCCTCTGAACTTTTCCACAATTGCTTCCGTATTTCTCAAACTCCTTTGGAAAAGCCTTCAGAAAGGGACAATGTGCTTCCCTTTAATTTAAACGGCCTTGAAAAAACTTTAGTTTTTTCCCGGTAATCAAAAACATTTTATGATCACAGGTCGTGGCCCGGCCTTTGTTTTTTTGCCAAACCTGTGACATCTTTCAATGCCTGTTACTGTTATTTCCAACTTCTGCTGAAAAATATCTTCCTCTATTTTAGCTTTCAGGTCTTCATACTTTTCGTCAGGGGGCTCCTCTAACCCGTAAATGATTAAGTTATTTCTGTGGCTTCTATTCTCACGGTCACCTACTTTGTCAATAAGTGTTGATACCTGCTCTTCAAGCTTTGATGTTGACACCTTCATATTCTTAACGTCGGTAGACAAACTGCTAAGTTCATTCAATTTTTGTTCGAGGCTGTCTATACGATCTGCTGAACCTGAAATTTTTTTTTTCAATCTTTACTTGCGATTCCTGAACGCGTTCAACGACACAAGTAAGCTTCTTTTGTCCTTGCAACAGTTCCTTCAACATATCTTCGTTAGGAGGCCCTGGGTTTGATTCAATATCCCCACATGCCAAAAAATCCCTTGATAACAGAACAACACTGTTAAGAAAGCAATGAACACACATTGGGCAGGGCAGCAGCACTAAAATCGGTCATCACTACGTATACAATAAGCAAGATGGTGATGACTAACCTGAAGCACAAAGCAAAAAGGATTGCTCAGCATTTTGCCCGTTGTGCTGCAGCCATGCCCACTGGCGAACGACGGAACCGGGGGAGCTTTTATAGCCCTTCAATACGGTACGTGATGTGGCGTCACAGTCGTAGATAGCCACGCTGGCACGATGAAGCGAAGTTCAGCCGTGTCACACGTGTTGTTCCTGACATCCGCCGTCCATTGCAGAGCAGGCCCCGGTCCGTGTTGTGCGCATGTCCTTTGGAGATAGTCTGGTGCCAGATGGATACCCAGAAAAACCTGAAGCACAAAGCAAAAAGGATTGCTCAGCATGCTGCCCGTTGTGCTGCAGCCATGCCCACTGACTCTCTGATAAGCTTTTGGAGTAGTGCATAGATAGTTTCTATTTATAATCTGCAGTGTAAAAGAAAGAAACCCGTAGGTATCATCAAGACATATTTTCACGTGGTTGAACGCATATGGCTTGTATGACGAGGGCAAAATCTTCGGTAACTGTTTTGAAGACCACCTCGCCAATAAATTTTCGAAATATTTCCTAGAGTAGTTCTGTTTATTAAAAATAGCTCGCTATGAATATATTCTTCGCCGGTTTGGTTTGAAATATAATGCCTGTCCCCTCTTCACGACAAATACTGCAATACTGTAGCTAACTTTAAAAATTGAAATACGTTTTTCCGTTCTGCTTTCGATTTTGGCCATATTGTGCACATGTAAGCTGCAAAAAGTTTGTGTAACTGGCTTCAAAAATATTGCGTAGTGACTACACCATCGTTTTTTTAAAGTTATCCTTCTTATTTCTGCTTGCTTTTAGTACACTTTACTGGATCAGGCAAGCTAAATTTAAGGAATTTTATAATAACTGGTTTAGACCCCTACGTTTGGGTCAAGAATTCGTCAGTTATGATAGTGTTTTAGCGGATGCCGACTGGGCTGTTTTGAGTTTTGAACTTGCTGATACAGCGATCACGAGATGACGACCAATAAATAATTTCGGAGCATATCCACAGAGTGTATGATGATTAGTTGGGCGAAGCATCCCTCTGTTCGTCTGCCGCTCTGTCTGTCTGTCTGTCTGTCTGTCTGTCTGTCTTTCTGTCTGTGTCCGTTTGTCCGTCCGTCCATCCGTCCGTCCGTCAACTATAGGGAATCATCAACAATACAAAAACTACTGATGCCACTTTGTGATATTATTTTTGGGGACGTGTAAACACAATGCCATCTAGTGAGCAATTTTTAAAACTAAGCATAAGCGTCTGCGGCTACATCATACTACTAGGAGGGACACGACCCATACCCTAAGGAGCTTCGCCTCTAAAAACACAAGTCAAAGAAACAGCTGTTCTGACTCGCTCGGTGTACTTTGTGAGAAAAAGACTGCTCATCGATTGATTTTTTATTCCCCTTCAGAATACTAATACCAGTTCTGGACTGAGGGACACATAACGAAGACTTTTGTTTGGGGAGTAATAGGCGATAACAATTTCAGTAATTTGGAACATTATTTCTATAACAAAATATACATAGATCTGATACAGCGATCACATCTTCTCACTCGTTATATTACCAGATACAATTTGGACTTCACCCAGGATGAGAACCTATGGTCGTGTCTCATCGGGCTGTTGTGGACATGGATCTATCGAGCAGGCCTTGACCAGATTATGGTACAACGCTACTTAGCTTCACGAACACTACGTGATGCTCAAAGGCAAGTGTTTGTAATTACGTACATGATTATGGAGCCATATTGATTATGGAGCTATGAAATTTGACCAATATCACAGGAGAAACCCAAACCGAATACCCGATGAGCGCAACTTGGTTAAATTAGCATTTAAGCCACTGTACGTCGAGGCGATTGCAGCTTTGTTTGTTCTTGGGCATTTGTTGACGTACTAATGATCTCTAGGGCTGTAAATGCAAACAGGTCTGGTGTACAATTTTGACGCGAAGTCGATCGATAATTGGTACAGCGAGGCCTACTCATTCTATACGCCCTGATAGTGTATGACAGTTGCGCTGTTTTGAGTTCTGGTTCTAATTTCACTGGTTAAATTGGTCATTTTTATTATGGAAAAATATTTGCTAGCGGCTGCGTTTGCGAAACCTTAAAGTGGCCACCAGCTGTTTGCAAAAAGGGCTACGATTTCTCAATTTGATCTCACTGCCTCTCTCAGCTAGTTAGGAAGATAATTAGGCTAATTATTTTGTACGGTCATAATTGAAGCCCCTACTCATCATTAGATGGCTGAATCCAAAGAAGGAGTCATTATGAAAGCAGTGTCAAAATATCTGATAGTTCTTATTTTCCGCACATTCGCACACATTTCTCCAAGCACGTTGTACGTTAGTGTTCAGGCAAAACGAAGCCACTTCTGACGTGAGCGTAGGTAAGCGGACCGGCTCACATTTTATTCTCTTTTGTCATTACAGAACCGCATGGTGGGGCACCTTACTCATCATTGCTTACTTCATTGTTGCTGCCGCTCTGGGCCTCATTATGGCTTACTGGTATAGGGATTGCGACCCTATGGTAGCGGGCGTGATCACTAGCCTAGATCAGGTGTGAATCCATGTTTTGTGAATTTTTTGTAATGGGGACAATATTACAAAGTTTAGGACGTATCATTGGCATGAAAGCCTCAATATTATAACTGCATTTTGTTTGTAAGTTCTTTCATGCTTTCACTATCATACTCGGCCACATTTTACATGATGGCCAAACGATCGCATAATATCTCAAAAGTTGTCTTTTTACCTGGCATAATTTGTAGAAAAAAGAGATGCGCCTTTTAGTTGCGTAGAGTACATAGGAATAAATAGCTGCTGAATAAACCGTCCGTGGACATCTCAATGTAGACTGTAGACATGAAGGTACTCAAAATACTAACATATTTGCTGTCTTTATTGACTGCTTCTATTATGATTACAATATTTTGTAAAGCATGAGATTACAAGCCCTCCTGTTTGTCTGAAAGCACATAATGATCAGGTGAAACGTATCGACAGGACTGTGCAAGTGTTTCACAGACACAGACACTCCGTGCGCGACTCCTGGGGCGCAGCTGTGATCCACTTTTACGCGTTGTACTATCAGAGCATGCGTAGCATATGTATATTCATAAGGCGCAATGTAGGTTTTGTTTACTGTCCTCTAGGTGCGCAACTGCTATGAATTTTTAGCTTTCAGTAGAAATACACGGCCACGTAATGGCACCACCTAAAGTGTGGTGAAGCGCCCAATATTTCCGAGTCAAAGCACTCGATCATGTGCGCTGGCACCTGTGGCGCCTTTAAAGATATCGCGACTCCTGAAGGGTCAAGCTTCTTACAATAAAAGTGAGCGCGCTGTTTTTTTAGGCGTGCTGCTCAATCGTTTTTTTCAGTCACATCATCTTCCTCAGTAGTTTCTACAACTTTGTCATTGCTATGAGTGTCATGATATCAATCAAATGTGGCGCATACTTCCTTTTTATGAAATTTTATAAAGTACTCACTCTTGCCTTCAGTTCAAAAGACAGCCAGCATAACATGATACAAGCGTAGACTTGGCATCATGAAGCTTCACATATTTTTGAAGCAGTAATGAACTGTTCTGGTAATATAAATATACATATTATCCAAGCGCTTCGCCAATGATATTGCATTGCTGAGTAACTCAGGGGATGAATTGAAATTCAACATTACTGAGTCAGACATGAAGAGCAGAAAGGTAGGTATTAAAATATTCTGCAGAAAACGAAAGTAAAATTTAGTAACCTCGGAAGAGAACAGAGCTTCGAGACTGGTAGCAATGTCCTTGAAGTTCTTAAATAGCACATCTACTTAGAAAAGGTAGTAACCACAGAGCCTAACCGCGAGATTGGAGTAACTAGAAGGTTAAGAATGCGGTGGAGCACATTCAACAAGCATTCTCAAATCGTGAATGATAGAATCGCATTCTCAAATCGTGAATGAAGAACAGCTGCATCTTACAGGTACTTAACTAAGAAGCAAAAACCTGGAAGATTAGAAAGAGCGTTCCACCTATTGAGGGTGACGCAGCGAGCAATGGTAAATGGAAAGGTAAATGATGGGTGTAACCCTAAGGGACAAGGAGAGAGCAGAGTATATCAGGGAACAAATGGGTGTTAATGACATCATAGTGGAAATCAAGAAGAAGAAATGGTAATGGGTAGGGCGCGTAGCGTGAAGGCAGCATAAACGCTGGTAATTAATGATCACAGACTGGACTCTAAGAGAAGGCAAGCTTGTGAAGAAGAAAAACTTGACTTGACAGATGAGATTAGGAAGTTTGATCCTATAAAGAGAGAGCAGCAACCACAGGACCGAGTTGAGTAGCGTAACATGGGAGATGCCTTTGTACTGCAGTAGGCCTAGTTAGCCTGATGATGATGATGGTGGTGATCATCGTCATGCAAGTATCTATAAATATGATATTGTCTACCTATTTTGGTGTTGGTGGTTGCAAAACTCCTTGCCGATAATGTTTCTCTCTTCAGGTAATACCATACTACGTGAACACCCATTTGGCAGGATTTATTGGATTTTCTGGCCTCTTCTTGGCAGGTGTTGTGGGCGCCACCACGAGGTACCTATTGCTCCATTTATATGCGTTCCCACGATTCGGAGACATCTGTACGTGTCGTCTTCCCTAGTCGGCAGTAGCGACTTCTTGACATAAATGAATATGTAATAGGATAACAAAGATATCCTGTCAGTTAGGCTAGTTATCAAAAACTACTCCAGGATTTATACAGCCGAGACCTACTTGACTATTTTAAAGAGATTTCAGCATCTCACTACAAAACGTGTGGCTTCGCAAGACAAATGAACACCAACCACCGATTGAAAATACAAGAAAAAATAGCGTAAAACATCAAAAACTCTGAGAATTCACGTGGTTTATAGTACGACACTGAAATTTTAACAGAATGTTTAATTGAATTTCCACTGTGTAGAACTGGAAGTGGTTTTGATAACTAGCTTTTCGCGTCAGATGTAATTTTGTTGCGTATTTTTCAGTCAGTTACGGCAGGTCACTGCTGTCGCCTAAGAGAGATGGCGCTACATGCAGATGCCACCAAATCCTGGTCTTGAAGTGTAAAAGTCAACGTTTTTTTCTTCTGAGCATAAGACTATTTTAAATAGCGATGTTCAATGTATTGATCAATGTGGTTCAGTGGTAAAGGAAACGCTCTAATATGCTTTTGTTATACTGTTGGTGCCATAACTGGATCACGATATGTGCTAATGCACCTGGCACGTTTTGTTGGCACAAGCGGGATGAACACACAAAGGGAGGCATGCTTAACACAAACAGAACCTTCATTACGTGCAAAAATCTCTAAGTACTTGGGATAAGTCAAATACATAAACCTCAATCGATAAATATGAAGTTCCTCTATGCGCAGAATGCTACCTACGTCCCTCACATCACTTCTAACTAACGTCTGTCTAGAACTGCCGTTGGCTTAACCACAGTCGAATGCTCTCATAAGCTCGTCGCTTGGTGCATTGCTCGGTAGCGATCTTGGTAGGCGCCTGTTGCTGGTGAAGAGATGCGTGCCGCCCGGCACTCCTGCCTCACCCAGCCTCCTATGACCTGTGTGCCGGTGACATAGTCGACCGGTATCTTCGAGTCCGGGCTCGTTAAACTCGGCGTCGCACGCACTGACCAAACCCGGCAGCTCACCACACAGCAGGCCAGCTGGACGACTGTGGAGTGTGAGTGAGTGGTTGACAGCTCACCGAGGTTGCAGCTGAGGTGGCTCCCGAGGTTTGGCATTACATCAGGCAGGACCCAGGCTGCTTGGACCATTCCCCATTTCTCCGCTGTCTCGGCTCTGTTCTCCACTGCGCACGCTCATTCATTATGGCGTCCCCGCGTGCACATCTTGCTTTTTTTTTCTTCTTCCACCAGTTTTTTTTCTTTCGCATCTGGCCTATTCATTACCTTGTCCAGCTTTTGTTTTGCTATTCTTTCTTCTCTTCACTTGTCATCTCTGACAGAATGATTGTGGAAAAACTGTTCGTGCACAGGACGTCTCGGTTCATAAGAGTCAGAGCCGTCAACAAACAGTATTATGCAAACTACGCAGCTATACTGCTGCAAGAGGGTGACATTCGGACGTGCGCTGCATGCGAGTTTTCTTTTAAGTATGCGTACGATCGCTTTGTTTTCTTCGGTTGTCCTTGTCTTAGCACCGTTAAATCATTACGGAATAACCATCTACCAACTAGACCAGCTTAGTGCACTTCTGCAGTATGTAGCGTTTAAGAATGCACCCACCTGTACAACGAATGATTGTCTTGTGCAACGGCATGGTAAAGTTTTGTACCATGAGCTGAATTTGCGCACCTTCAGCCGCAAAAGTTTGCGGCGTCTACAGCGTGTGGCGGAGCGACGAGAATCTTAATGACTATTTCACCTACCGCAACACGGCTGGGGTTGAGGCTATAGGCCTCAGCGATTCGTGAAGGCGAGTTTTGAAGACGCGCCTTTGCCGGATCTAATTGCGGAGGCCACAGTCGATATAGTAAACACCCGCCGTGTTACGGTGAGTGAAGAAGTCATGCATTTTTTCGTTATCCCCCACGCGTTGTAGTTTCCCCAAACTGTTGCCGCCGACTATACAGCTTCGTATAGCTTTTAGGAAGTAAGACTTTTTGTGCGTTACATTTTCAAGCCATTTTGGTGCATTAAAAGTGCAGTGGACTTCGAGACAGTTCATTCATTTAGTGAAGGCTACACTTGTTTGATCAAAGCTCTCTCGGGGTTGTTGATAAGTCTCACAGTTAAACCATAATCACAGCAGTCGTCGTTCTACTACAATTATTGCGTTTGAAATATATCTTACGTAAATATAATTCATTCCTCCAGAAGTCCTACTTACTCGTACCAGATGCACCATCTATTTGATAGACTTCTTCGCTTCTTTATTTTTTAAGAGTGGAGCAATGGGTTTTTTTATTGTGTCGGTTAATGCGGACAAAAATTATGGTCATCATGGATTTGTACGTGATCCTTTCGTCCTCTGCGAATTCCATTACGCTCCCACAAAACTTGCGCCGATTTGTCTTGCGTCGAGCACATTAAAATTGCAAGGCAAGTCTGATACGTGACTCAAAATTATGAAGCATCACTTGAGATCTGGTCACAAAACTAACACAATACGCAACTGTTGTCGTGGCTCTAAATTGGATAGGATAGCATAGCATCTGGTTACATGACTGAAAACACGTTCTATCAAGTAATGATCCTATAAGACGGAAATGACATAAGAATACACCTGACTGCAATACTTCGCATATGTAACTAGTCTTGGGACTTGAGTAACTTAACATCACGTAACTAGTGTCGTGATATGATTTAGTCGAAACCACGTGTCATACACGTTGCGGGGAAACTACCGAAACCAAAGCATAGCCAGCCTTGGCGCCATATATCATTACTATATAAATGTAAAATTTCTATAAAATTATTGGGATCATCAGAAAAACTCAGCTTGGTCGAACACTACCTAAGCTGTTCGCTCCAACTTTTGGCCTTGCATCACCAGTGCCAGATGCAGACCTTTTTTTTTAGCTTGAATCAGGTAGTATTATCCTTAAAATGTCTTCCAAGATCCTGGTTTAAGCTTTTCTGAACAACATGTTTGTTCCGCAGAAATATTTTTCACTTAGAACTTTCCAAAAGCTCCACCACCGGGATGGCTTCAGAACCTGGAGCCAGCACTGAAAAGCAGCAACAACTGGAAGTATATCGGGGACCTCATTTCAATTGGGGTGGTTGCAAACCACGTGTTAGTTTACCCTTCAGAAGACAAGCCCTAATACCTATACTTCCCATTGTGCTTGAACTCCTGGGACAGTGCTTGAAACGCATGTGTGTGCGACATATTGGTGCGGCGCAGCACGCACATGAAGTACTTTTCAAAAGAACGAACAGGGCGCTAACAGCTACCGGTCACGCCTTATAGCTAGTGAGACGATAGCCATCTCCAATGATGGTACATGTAGGTGACGATGTTGGCAGGAAACAGTGAATGTTAGTAATGGTCAGTGACTTGTGAGAGCTGCTATAACAGAACTGTACTTGAAGAAATATCGACTTGAGTCAGAGGTAGTCGTCGAAAAGAAATCATCACGACAAAACTTCACACATCAAATAAGCAGAAACGGTTAGAGTGTGCCAATATTGGGGCATCGTCAATAATCATGTCAGTAACAGCAAGCAAAAAGGTAATTTAGTTCCAACACGATGACTTGTGGCAGCTTTAACTCTCATGCGTGCTGATCATACCCACTGACATATTTACCACGCTGCAATTCGGCAACGCCACCTCCATTAGGCAGAAGCGCAAGTGTATGAGATTGGTGCCAATTTCGTGAAGGCTCATCGAGGGTTTCCTTGTTTCGAGCGTAATATAACACACTAAGTTCTGTCACTATGACGTGTGAATTCTTAGTGTAGCGGGTAAAATACACATAGATTTCCGCTCTATCACATCTATATTTCATTTTAGTCCACCCCCCCCCCCTTCTGTAGTTTTATAGTTTTCTGTTTTTCACTGAAAAACACTGACAACGCCTAAATTACCCTACTCTTTTTTTCTGCTGTTTTCAGTACCATATCATCCGCCATAAATTCACTGGCTGCCGTGACCTACGTGGAGTTTGTCGCTATGTTTGCCGCACCAACACCCAAAGTATCGCTTCTCCTGACGAAACTCCTAGGTAAGCACTTTGAGACAATCTCTTTCAGCTCATTGGTGTCATTCTCATATTCACTACGAAAACAATATTTCTTGTTTCCATTTGTATTACGGAGAGCAGGAAGCTATAGATTGTGTACATATTGAGGATATTTTTATTTTCTCCTGAACTGTTGGACAGAGTACTGTGCAGATCTCATCTAAACGACTGCTTAGAGAGAATCCAGTGAGCCTGAGAAGAAAGCCAGGCCATAGAAATCCTTGATTTGGATCACCACCAGCTTCTATTAGTGGGTAGAAATGATAATTGATAAGAACTGCTAGTTTTATGCCATGGATATACTTTTATCACCTAAATTATGTGGTATAGTTCAAAATCATACAAATCTAATTTGTGTCACCCACATATATTAGATTAGAAACATTAGGGGCTCACCAATCTTTAATTCGTTTTAAAATCAGTTATTCTGATTTTAACTGATTTTAACTGATTTTAACTGATTTTAACTATATATAGTGGAAGAAGTCGAATATGTCCAAGCATGAAGTGGGAGTGCACAGGTGTGCGTTGTTTGTATGATTCCTACATACACATTTCTTTTTGCGTTGTCATGTAAGGATATCTGGTGATTATGTATGTACGACCACTAATAGCACCTGACAATAGTTATATGGTGGTTTGACCTCCTGTCTCAAATAAATATGTGTGCAATAAACCTCAATACACCCAGATAAACCTATTTTAGTAACGAGATGTCTGCCGTTCGCGAAGTATGGGCTAAACTTTTCCCAAAAGCTCACTCTTGCGACAATTTTGAAAAAAAATCGTCACAAAACTTGCAGGTTGCCGTCTAAGAGTATTTTAAGCTTTGTAACGGCTTCCTGTGTGGCCAAAAAAGTGCAAGTGTCTGTTGTTTGAGGAGTGCTCACGTCAATAAGTTGTGCACTGTGTAGCCACCTTCCGGCAGTTTTCAGCTGTTAGATTTTCATAAATATAGGCCTGCGCAAAACATGATTGTATGCTTATGTTGTCACATGTAAACAAAAAATTTACAACCACTTCAAGAAGGCCGAACATAACAGAGCTCATGCACACTTGCTATGTGGTGTAGCTTTCTGAAAATTTGAAGAAACTGCAGTCACGGGCCATAGTGTGCCTCAAAAAAAGAAAAACTTGGCTTTTTCAGACATGTCCTTGGCCCATCATGAAAGTTAGCTCGCGGACTCCCTAGGCTCGGCCACATATGTCAAATTTATAACCGCTGTGCAATTTCCTTACCTCGTATCTCAATTAGGCTCATGACCCAGCAGAATTGGACAGATTTACCTTCTTATTGAAAACCATCATGTTCATATATGTAGCCAAGTAAAGGTTATCACTCATGCTTCACGTGTAGAATTTTGACTGCATTGAATGAATCAGTGTATATGCTTGTTTTATTTGTTTACGCTCGAATCATTGAGGTATTGCTTCACATAAAAGGCTCAAGTGTACCAGTAAAAATAGGACCACCGAGAAGCACTCCACGTTTGATTGCACTTTTCTCTGTTGTGTTCATTACACATACGTGTTTTCAGTTTTCAAGCAATCTGTTCAATATTCCTTGCAGTCAATCGTTGTCCTAATAAGCCGGGAGCTATTCTAATGTGAATTCTGGTGGAAAATTTTGTTTTTTTAATAGGTTAGTGAAAAACCACATAGATGGTTATTGTTATATTTTCTCGTTTCTCTTGTTGGTTGAATGAATTACTAGATGTTTAGCCGTTCTGACATTGATCTTCTCGTAAAAAAACATTTAGGTATCATCACTGTTGTGCAGAAGGTAAAAAAAAATGTCATAAGATGAAGAGTGTTCAGTTGAAATATAATGTAATTTTGCGCTACATTTAGGCACAATCTTGCGCCATGTGTGTTGCGGTGAGGGTGTCAGTTAAAATTATCATTAAAGCATAATAATATGAACTATTTATTAAATTATAAGAAGTTTGTTTTAGTTACTGTGTAAACTCTGTGTGGCATTGTTCTCCAAGCGCCAGCTTGTGTTGTTGTGCAAGCACACAAGGACACACTAAAGTGCGAGCCATATAGTGCTCACTAACTATTGCATTTTCTATAGAGAAAACGTCTTGTCATACAAACTAACGAAAAAGCACGGTAAGCAAGTATCTGACGTAATTGCGTGTTAGAAAAACTGCATCTGAATACCGACTGTAATGCCGGCGTGCAACCTAAAAGCTAAGTTCTGTTCTTAACAGGTTGTCAGCCAGCTGGCTAATACATGCATCTTGAGGTATGCTTGTGCACTGTTGCGTTTCTTGCGGACTTTGTGTCAATGCAGGAAGCTATACAACCTGTAAAAGCCACTGGACAACCGCAGATCACAATTATGTGCACGATTATGACGCCGAATACACATTGTTCGTGTTCAGCCATAAATTCAAAACTTTTCAGAAGATGTTCTATCCAGCAAAGTGGTATATATCTGACCGACAAAACCTCGTTGCACAAGGTGTCACCCTTTCAAAATGTTTACTGCTACATTTGCCTTTACTTCATTGTGTTTATGCAAGCGAGAAAATTGCGTCAGAAATTGCGTCAATTGCGTCACTTTGCACACCAGATGATACCAATATCGATGACGTATGCAAAGCGCATAACTGTGAATGAAATCACGAGGCTCTGAGTGAGAGCATTAATTTTAGACTATGAACAAAGTCGCGTAAGAGTGTAACCTGCGGAACAATATTTTCTGGATTAATGAGCGTGAATGATGAAATCGCAAACGTACCTAAAATGTGTTATTAACCATGACAATGGATATGCAATGCACAGTTTTACCACTAATAGCTAAGTTGACAAGATATTTAAAATGACACTAATGAGAAAAAAACGATTTTTCGCGTATTAGTAAAGTACACATTTACGATCCCGAGAAGGTGGCTCTTACCGCCGCACGATGCTTAATACGCGAGCAAACGTGCGCATAGAAAATGTGGACTGCGATGCCAGCTTCATACGCCTGACCCAAACAAACGTGACTTCATAAATTACGAAGGTGTTCAAGGGACCATACATATTTTCTAAGCAATAAAAATAAAGTAGATTGTCGTGTCCGGGTGCTATAGACCTGACACGCGAAGTTTCTGAATTTTTCACCGCGCCAGTGTCGGCAACATATGAAAAATAATTTTTTTTAATGTTGACACAACTGCCAGAAATGTCACCGCTTAACTAAATAATGAATTATACACGTTGATTTTCTCCGCTAAAATGAGCTTATAATAATGACTTCGCAGTTCTCAGAGAATAAATTGTGTATCCAAACTAAGTCATTGTTTCTGTTTTGTCATCATCACCATCTTCATCATCATCATCAGTCTGTCTAAGGCCACTGCAGGACAAAGACCTCTCCCATGTTATGCCAGTCAACTTGGTCCTGTGTCCGCTTCTGCCAATTTATACCCGCAAACTTCTTAATTTCATCTGCCCACCTAACCTTCTGTCTCCCCCTCACCCGCTTGCCTTCTCTGGGAATTCAGTTAGTTTCCCTAATGACCAGCGGTTGTCCTGTCCACGCGCTACATGCCCGGCCCATGTCTCTTCCCTCTACTTTATTTTAACTAGGATATCCTTAACCCCCGTTTGTTCCCAAATCCACTCTGCTCTCTTCTTGGCTTTTAAGGTTACATTTACCATTCTTCTTTCCATTGCTAGCTGCGTCTCCCTAATTTAAGCTGAACCCTCTTTGTGAGTCTCCAGGTTTCTGCTCCGTAGATAGACACCGGCAAGATACAGCTGTTATATACCTTCCTCTCTAGGGATAGTGGCAATATACCTGTCATAATTTGAGAATACTTGTAAAATCTGCTCCACCTTATTCTTATTCTTCAAGTTACTACAATTTCATGGTTTTAGATCTGTGGTTATTAACTGCCCTAAGTACACATAGTCTTTTACACTTTGAAGTGGACTATTAACTATCTTGAAGCGCTGCTCTCTTCCGAGATTGTTGTACATTACTTTCATTTTCTGCAGAATAATTTTAAGACCCACCTTTCTGCTCTTCTTGTCTAACTTCGTAATCATGAGTTGCAATTCGTTCCCTACGTTACTCAGCAATGCAATGTTATCGGCAAAGCGCAGGTTACTAAGGTATTCTTCAATAACTCTTATCCCTAACTGTTCCCATTCTAGGCCTCTGAAAACCTCCTCTAAGCACGCGGTAAATAGCATTGGGGAGATTGTATCCCCCTACCTCACACACTTCTTCATTGGTATTCTGTTGCTTTCTTTATGAAGCACAATGGTAGCAGTTGATCCCCTGCAGAATTTTTCCAGGATGTTTATACATGCTTCATCGACGCCCTGATTCCGCAGTGTCTGCATGAGTGCTCATATTTCTACTGAATCAAACGCCTTCTCGTAATCTATGAAGGCCACGTATAGTGGTTGGCTATATTCTGAGCATTCCTCTTTTACCGCATTGATAATGTGAATGTAGTCGATTATTGAGTAGCCTGTTCAAAATCCTGCTTGTTCGTTTGGTTGTTTGAATTCTATTACTTTCTTAGGTCTGTTAGCAATAACTTTTGTAAATGGGTTGTATACTACGAAGAGCAAGCCGATCGGCCTGTAGTTCTTCAAGTCCTTGTCCTCTCCTTTCTTATGTATTAAGATGATGTTAGCATTTCTGTTTCTCTTTAGTATCACCGAAATCTTTTATTTATTCACAAGTATCTTTAAATCAGCGAGAATACAGCGTGACAGAGCCTCTTTCCCTAATTTTTTCCCGCATTTGGTGCTGATGGCGCACGCACTTTTGACTTGTTAACCAAGCTTTTTTTGTACCCTAAAGTATTAAAATTCATCAAGTTTCTTCAATTCTAGAATAGTTGCTGTTTGATATCTATTGATTAAGGAAAGAAGCGTTAAGGTAAAGGCAGGTTTTCGTAGTTAGCCACACTATAAATGAGGAATAACGAATAATTTCGCCTAAGAATGTATAGAGTATGCTAATAGGA